TGTGATGTACATGAGGCACCCGATTAAGGAACGATAGGGTCGTGCCCGCATTTCGGCACGTTCCTTTTCCGTAGTCGGCGACATCATCTTGGACAACTTCAGGTTTGCTGCACAAGGGTTCTCCACCATCTTGGCGTTCCGTTGATTGAATCGTTCCACAATGTCGTCAATGTACCGAGTTTGCTTGATCATTAACGTTCCACATTCTCTATCGTGGTCAATCTCCATTCCCAAAATGAATTTGGCCTCGCCAAGCTCCTTCATCTTGAATGCGCTCTTCAGGGCGTTTTTGACCTCCCGAATTTCGTCGCGCGTCTTGGCCGCAATGATCATGTCGTCCACATATAGACATACGTACACGAATGCGTTTTTGGAACGCTTGACGTAGACACACTGGTCGGCTCCGCAACATTTGAAACCATTCTGCAGGAACACGCGATGAATAGTCTTGTTCCATGCACTTGCAGCTTGCTTCAAGCCGTAGATGGCCTTTAGCAGCTTGCACTTCATGCCTTCAGCATTCTCGAGGCCAAAATGGAACGTCCAAGTGGACCAAATCCTTCAAATTACTGTTTAGGAACGCTGTGTCGGCATCCAGTTGCTCCATAATGTAGCCGCACGTAAACGCAAACAGCGAGTACAACTCGAATCGAGTTCATATTCGCAACTGGAGAGTACGTCTCAAAGAAGTCTATTCCAAACTTCTGCTTGAACCCCTGCGCCACTAGGCGTGCCTTGTAACGGATAACCCGGCCGTTCTCGTCACGCTACTTCGTGATCACTCATTGACATCCAATGTAACGAGTTGTCGTACTACGTGGAACGAGCGTCCATGTTCCGTTCCGGGAATGCGAATTCAGCTCTGACTGCATAGCACGACACCACTCTCCTGCTTCGTTACTGGAGATAGCTTCTGCGAACGTGTTAAGTGTATCTTTGAACGCCACCAAATGCTGCGCTGCGTACGCCAAGCACTGCCCTTGACGACGCAAACCATCATCATTCGATTCTGCGTACGCTATCGAGATGACGGTCCATCAC